ATTTCAAACGATCCTCCGGCTCCAGATCACACAACAGTCGCACCGGGTTGCCTTTCAGACAGTATGATCGGCGGAACACCTCCTCGGCTTGAGTCTTGGCTCCGAGAACTACATTCAGAGGGCGAGGAAGGCCACTGTCCTTTACTTTACCCAGGCGAAATGCTGCCTTCACCTTGATATCATTGGCCACGTTTTCTTCACCCTTGAATACTTTCTCGAGAATAGATCTCAACAGGAGGAGATCGTGATTGAGTCTCTCCTGTCCAGACCCCGCTGGGGCCTCAGGTAGGTTTAGTGTTAGAAAGCACTCGTTACGCTGAGGGACATTGCGTTTGGCAGCACTCCCCATTTTCGTCCATCCCTCCGAGGTCTCCGATGCGGCGGACGGCAGGGACCCCACAGGCGGTCCTCCTTCCTTCTGTGCCTGTGCTGTGGTGTTAGTCGTCGGTAGTGAAACTTCGGTCGAGTAAACCAAGAAAAAACCCGCCGGAAAATAATAAATAAGAACGAGGAAAACACACACACGCACTTTAAGTTTGCGACGATTGTAATTCCTATATACTTTACGGAATCTGCTGTAGTTAGGGGATAAATAGATCGAGAGAGAGAAAGTGCATTGGAAGCATTCAGATAACTTAAGAGACAGTCTGGAACGAATGGAAAGTTGTGGATATGCGACAGACTGTTCGAGAAGGTCCACAAGCACATAAATGGCTTCACAAAGGGTTACGTCATCAGCGCAGTTAGATATTTGGGCTGGAAACTCGCTGTCAGGTCACTGATGTAGGTAGAGAACAAGAACGGAGATAGTTGAGTTGAAAGCACAAGCGTGGCCGGGAGGGGAATACAATGCGACGTTTTGCTATGGGGATTGCTTTTTCTGCAGCTGTACTCAGTTTACGTGTCACCATCTCGGTGGTTCTGTCATCCTTGAAAGGTAGTGATATGTAAGCCGGTTTCTTCTCAGCAGTAGTGAACTTATTCACCAACCGATGACGTCTCAAAACGTTGCCCGCCAATCGATCTGGGTATCTGTTTTGAAGGAAGGCCTCCCGACTAAACCTCATTTCTACCTCAATGGTATCATCTGTACATATTCTTAGCTCCATGGCAGCGATACACTGAATTAAGTTTCTTTTCCTTCTCAAAAACAGTTTTTGAAATGGATGTACGGACTATTCCACAATGGCTTCCCGTGAATGTCGCACCTGGACATCCTCGGATTAAGCAGAACTGAATGCTACTAGGCGCGTCCCCGGGTTGTGGAAAGGGGGATACCTTCACCGAAGAAGGTTAGCTGTGAATTAGTTGTGGTATACTGCAATTAATAAGCAGTCACGAACAAACAGCGGCGGCACTATCAGGGTGTGATGGTTTTCAAGCTGGTCACCTACCTGGCTCCTGTTTAAAAGCCGCATAAGCTGAATGACGGTGTCGTGACAAAGGTCGATGTGACTGGCCTTTTAAGACTAAAGTCATTGACTCTCTCACTTCCGAGACGAGGGATTACTTCCTGCTGCCTTGCATTTCGCACTTGGTTGTGTAACGGCTAGTAGTGCGCCCTCAAAATAAAAAAAGAACGCCGAGTGACACTGGGGACGTCTCTCCCACCAAACTCCCAAGGAACTTCATGATCATGCTTTTCCTAGGAGCCGGCCACGGTAAGCAATAATGGCGCATTGGATAGTTCTGTCTGATCGATGACTTAGTCAAACGACCAGAAATGCAATCTCTTCGTTTTATGTCTAAATGAACTGAGTCAAATAATTTTGAGAGATTCACACGGTCATCGATGAAGCAAAACAAACTGTCATCCACGTATCGTTTGCATAATACACACTAATCGGTTCTTCGTTTTGGGACGTTATACCGCAGCTTCACCATGAAGATATCTGTGAGCCCAGAGGACCCAGGGGAGACCTCATTGCCAACCCCCATCTAGTTGGCGATAAAATTCGTCATTGAATTTGAATTTTATTTTGTGTTTGAGATCGCCAACTGATATGCCAATTTCACGATTATTGCTTTGCATATGGTCACTCATGTATTTAATAGTTTTATCATTGAGAACGCTTGAGAAGAGAGAAATAAAGTCGAGAGATATCATGCGTATACTGTTTGTGTTTGTATTTTTAATCCTAGCTACTAAGTTGTGTGTAATCCTTAAATGTGTGATTGCCGAGTTCTACTGTCACGGGTTCCAGGATCGCTACCAGCCACTTAGCCATGGTATGGTAAGGGGAGTTACACGTATAAAGGATTAGTGGAGAAGGTATTCCATTTTTATGTTCCAGTTGGTCAGATTTGTTTAAATGTGGCAGTGTCTATTACATCCCTCTGTTGTAGGCACCGGAGCGTTTTCGACAGTGACTTTTCTGATATTCCTAGTCATGCTCTTACATATCATACAGTGAAAAAAAATATTACATAACGATAGCCATTGGCTCATTTCAAGGTCAATATTCGGAGGTAGGCAGTGATGGGTGTGTGTATGTTTGTTTGTGTGTGTGTGTGTGTGTGGATGGGTGGGTCGGAGGGAGTTCAATGTGACCTTTAACCACTTGGGTCAAGTGACACGTCATGTTCCGTCTTGGTTTTCACACACGGCCAAGGCAATTGAAGTGCCTGCACCAAACGCTTTTGGGCACACAGATCGGGGCCTAGTAGGCGAATGGCGATCGCCTCGGCCATAGCTAGTGTCCAAACTCGGGTCGCCCTCGAGCGATTGATTGGGATGCGATAAACCACATCGAAAGCCTTCTCCGGATCGAACTTGTGCCCGGTGTCGATGAGCTGCCCCACAGTCGCGCTAGAAATGCAACCGGTTTTCCCCTGACTCAACCAACTCGCGGGTGGTGCTCCTTAACACGTTGAGACAAATGCCTTATCGTACGACCTATATAATATGCACCACAGACGCACTTAAAAGAGTAAATTATCACAGATTAGGTCAGTTTCGGCAGTTTGTCTTTCACCTGCATTCGCATCACCGGCGATGTAGAGCACACTGGTCTAAGTTTTGCCGCGGGGAAGGTTGAATTTACAGCCACTTCCAGTGATTGTACTAGGCTGTCGGTGTGTGAGTCCCCTTTAAATGGAATCCTTATGAATAGTTCCTTCTTGGGGACACAGATTGCGTTTTCCTTCTCCGGAGTGAACTGAATGTTCTTGTCGATGAACTTTTCCGGATAACCATTGTTTGACGGATGAAGCGTAGTTCTTCATCCAGTGTATCTGCTGAACAAATCTTCCGCGCTCTGAAGACTAGACAACGAACTAGATTGCGTTTATATTTCACTGGAACGAAACTATAGAAGTTAGTATATTGGCCATTCCATATCTTCTTTCTGTGAATCTGTCTTCTGACTGATCCATCTTCTTTTCTGGACACGGCTACATCCAAAAAGGCCAAGTTGTTGTTCACTTCAACCTCTACAGTGAACTCCAGTGAGGGATGTGCTTCATTAAACAATTTCAAAATCTGTTGGATGTTATGTTCACGATTGGTCACACAGAAGATATCATCCATATATCTGCTATAATGAGCTAGTCCTCCAATAGCTTGGCTCAGCGTGCTCCTTTCTAGTTTAGCCACGAAGATGTCAGCTAGCAACGAACCCAGTGGTGATCCCATAGCAACCCCGTCTATTTGACGATAGATATTACCGTTAAATAGAAACTGGACGTTACGTGTGCAGCGTAATAGCAGTTTTTTTAGATTGGTAACCGGAATACCAACTTTCACATTCAATACTTTTATTTGATCACAAATGAATTCAACTGTCTCTAGCAAGGGTACATTAGTGAACAATGAAACCACATCCAAGGAAAACATCATCTTTTTTTGCAGATGCAGGTCTTTTATTTTGCCTACAAACTGGCAACTGTCTCGGAGACTGTGTGTGGCGAGTCTACGACGAATGGGTTCTAATAATTCGACCAACCACTGCGCCGTTGCATGATATGGTGAATTTATCATTGCCATAATACACACACCCATCCCTGCCTACCTCCGAATATTGACCTTGAAATGAGCCAATGGCTATTGTTATGTAATAATTTTTTTCACTGTATGATATGTAAGAGCATGACTAGGAATATCCGAAAACAGTTGTTCGCTCACCGACTCGTTTTCTCAATGCTATTATGGGAATATTCAAGCTTTTAGTGACTTTTCTATTTGTTCTGTTTTATCATTCTCCCCAGTGTTATGTTTTGCCAAAATGTATGAAGGATTATTGCGTCTGTTGACTAGCCCCAAACAATCGGAGAGAGAGAACATGGCTCAGAATATTATATATTAATATATATATATATATTAATGAGCATGACACAACACGCAAATATGCGTGTTAAATTCACTGTACGTGGTGACGCACCAGTCTGATCGCGGCCTTGATACTCTGATTGATCGATAGGACGACAGCTGTCTGATTCGGATCAGTCATCCAATCCGAAATCAACTCGGCTATGAGCGTCACGAACGCATTTATGGTGTGAAGCGGGTCGATGCGTGGCCAGACGGATTCTGTGCGCTCCGTCCTAAAACCCAGCAAATTTCTGAAATGTTCTGGTTTCTCTGATAGTAGTGTTCATTTTGTTCCTTTAGTCCGATCTGACTAAACGGAATATTCCAGCACCTTTGCCCAGTCTCGAAATAATATGATTTCGGTTTTTCTTAAACTCGTTCAGCCGTTCCCGGTGTTGTGCAGTTCCTATTTTTTCAGTGGTTTACTCCCCAAGAGTTTACGGCAGCTGTGGACTAAAGTTGATTTCATGTCTTCCACTCAAAGTGACGAAGGTGGAACAAAATATGACATTTCGTAAAATTGATAATCGAACTCTACCTTCAGATTCAATTGTTAAGTTTGTTCGCTAATGTATGGTTTTCTTATGGCATATATATATATATATATATATATGTATATATATATATATCAAATACGTTTTAGTTCAGACTGTGTGCCAAACAAATTATGGTACATTATTCTCTATAGAAAGTAAAAAAGTTACATGATTTTTTCGTGAATACTATCAGATTGTTCAAACCTGAGGGATCCGCAATCGGAGCCTTTGGTTAATCAAGGCCTGACCCCCAGGGGCAGTGGGGCGGTGTGTGAAAACCGCAATCCATTGGGGGTCGGTGTCCAGTTCATCGGATCACACACCCTTGAGACAGAATCAGATGTCCAAGGTACTCAATACACCTTGATCTCCAATCAAAATGGTGACCACTACCACAACCAGGAAGGCGTGTGTTATTCGTACGCCTCTTCACGGTTGGTTTGGAATCAGGGATTTTGGCCAACTTCCCCGGGAGCATTTCGTGAGGTACAAGGGAAGAGTGAC